GGGGAGGGAGCTCAGAGGCACCCACCGCGCGGGGAGCGTTTTTCAGGTGTCATCATCCCGGGCAAAGGGACACCCGCACTCCGTTACATGCAAATAATGCTTGTACTAAGGGAAAGAAAACAGACAATCAAACAAACACAAAAAAGCCCCACCAAAGAACACCCCACAACCCTTCTGCCCAAAAAATGCAGTGTAAGGATTAGAAATATTTGATACTTCTAGTCTTGGACAGGTGGAAAAACTCCAGTGACTGTGAATTAACTTAATTTGGAAAGTCTCCCAAGAGCAGTGATTCCAAGCTAGAGGCCTGCAGCTGTGCTGCTTCAGGAGAAGCTGTCCTTTCCCGAGAGCCGCTTGTGACTGGGGGTAAGGCAGCTCCCACCCCAACCAGGCGCCTAGACCACATCTCATCAATGGCACACTACGAACAGAGTAGACCCTAAAGCCCAGAGATTTGGGCCTCAACAGTTCTCCAATACTGGAGCAAAAAATAAATGGGAGACCACAACAGGCCTCATTACTAAACAAAGTAAAGGAAAAGCCAGAATTTATTACTTGAGTTTTATCTACACTAGCAACCTAAATGTTTTCTTCATCTCTTACATGATTGAGAAACAAAGAAAAAAGATTTCATTGCACCTCTGAAGAACAGCAGGTTTTGAATGGCTTGCTCAGCAAAACTAAGGGAGGTACCTTATTCAGTGCCGTTTTACCACATGCTCATCAATACAGCATTACAGCACTTTCCGTGAACTTTCGAGAAGCATCTGTCATATGCTAATTCACTCCCTACAGAGGGGGAAAAAAAATGCATGCATGTGAACACAAGCAAGGAACAAGCAAGGAAGTACAGTCATTTGGACGTTTCTTTAGGGCTATTTTAGCATACATATTTCTGTATATTAGAAAAAGAGAAGTCAAAACCAAAACAAACCATCCACAAAGCCTCACTGTATTCCTGCTCTCATTCATATTTTTATTATCCATACTAATTATTTCTGCCACACATATTAAGATATTTTCTACATTCAAGATTATCACTAATGCAGAAATTGATGCAAATTCCAATTCTTACTACACAGTCAACATGAGTCCATTTATAACTGTCCACAGTTTACTAAATAAGGTCAAAAGTCAGCAGTGTTAAGTTCCTCACTCTCCACCATGCATGTATTTCAATACACATCTTGAGCAACATTTGCTTTCACCACAAACTTTTAACAAATTTGAAATGCTTTTCCCTGTTATTTGAAAGGCTGAATTAAAATCCATCTCCTTAGTAGGGAAAAAAGATGACTTCTGCCAAGAAACTGACATCAAGTCTGAACACTGAATAAAACCAATCTCCTCATCTGCCTCTCTGCGCAAATCCTGGCAACCCAGTGTTTTCATGTATGCTGGACCTCAAAACCCTCATGACCAATGCTTCTTTGACAAAGCCTCAGGTCTCAGTTTAAAACAACTTCAAGTGAATATGGTGCTGTACCACCTATCTCACACATGGTACCCTGTATTTATCATCCAGTGGATCAAACCTTTTCAAAACATTTACTCACCAGTAGGTCATTTCAAGATAGTTAAACACTGCCATCAACAGAAGTAGGGTCATATATGACTACCTCATTTCCAGCATACTCTGTCAAACTGCATCTCCATCTTTTTGTCATAGACTTAGCCTAGACACTTAGCTTTAAGAAAACAAATCTGACTGTTATTTCAGTCATTCTGGGAATAACTGTCAATATCTGATTTATTTTGTTTTTGCTGGATTGTCGTGGTTTAACTGCAGCCAGCAACTAAGCACCGCAGAGCTGCTCACTCACTCCCCACCAGTGGGATGGGGGGGAAAAGAATCAGAAAAGTGAGAAAACTCGTGGGTTGAGACAAAGGCAGTTTAATAACTAAAGCAAAAGCCATGCACACAAGCAAAGCAAAACAAGGCATTCATTCACCACTTCCCATGGGCAGGCAGGTGTTCAGCCATCTCCAGGACAGCAGGGCTCCATCACCTGTAAAGGTTACTTGGGAATACAAATGCCATCACACTGAACGTTCCCCCCTTCCTCCCTCTTCCCTCAGCATTACATGCTGAGCATAACATCATATGGTATGGAATATCCCTTTGGTCACTTGGGGTCAGCTGTCCTGGCTGTGTCCTCTCCCAACTTCTTGCGCACCTCCAGCCTCCTCGCTGGTGGGGTGGAGCAAGAAGCAGAAAAGGCCTTGACTTCGTGTAAGCCCTGCTCAGCAGTAACTAAAACAACCCTGCATTATCAACACTGTTTTCAGCATCAACCTAAAACATAGCACCATGCTGGACAATGTCAACAGAGTACCATTTAAAATACTAGCTCACAAAAATAAAAAAGTATTCTCATATAAATAACAATGGTTTTTATTTGGAATATGCTTTACAGCTACACTGTAAGATTACTAATTGTAGTAGGATGGAAGAAGTAAGTCATATTCATTGACAGGACAATTTATCCCAGGATTAGTTTACCACTACACTACAATACTACAGGTTTATAATTTTTCCAATTACCTTGTTTGGTCAGCCCATACAAATGTTTCAAAATAGTCTGAAAATATTCAAAGTACATTACTTAATGTTAAAAAGAATGGTCTGCACTATATAAAATCTATCTCTATGCTTCCAGGTGGAGGTTTTGCAAATTAGAGGCCTGAATTAGAGTATCTAAATTCACTGTCTTAGCTTCGGATGTGCCAAACACTACGAACAATAAGAAAAGAGGAAAGCATATAACCATAACCATATAACAAATAACTGTTTCAGCTTTGCTGGAGAACAGAAAGATGAAGTTAAGAGGTGTTGACTATATGGAGCTACTGAAGTTGTTCGAAAACCCATTGCCTAGATTCAGTAGATATTTCCAGACCAATATTTCATTTAGTTACGAGTAACTTTAAATCAAGTACCAAAAGCATGTTTTAATATTCAGCTTACCAATATTTCACAGAAAGCAAAAATATTACAACTGTGTATCACAATGATATAAAATATATCTCATAATTTTTGTTATAATACTATACTTTCCAAAAATGGTAGTTCATATATCCTATCTTTTACCAATTCTGTAGGTGTTCTGAGTGAAACAGAAAAATGCCTAGTTAACATGTTGAAGAGAATTAAGATTCCTTCTGATGCTCTCAAAAGGCATCCCTGTCAAAAAGTTCGTTTTTTTTTTTTAAATTAAGAATCTCGTGTTTTTCCTTGAATTAGATGACGAATCTTCTCAGTATCTTTTTCTATACTTTTATTTTTAGGATCAATCTTGAGAGCTGCTTCATAATCCTGGAGACCTAATATAGAGACATTAATAAGCATGTCAATTAAAAATGCAAGAGCATCCTCTTTAGCAACTAACTGGAAATAACTGCTCCCTAGTCATATGCATAAAATATTGATCTTGGGTTTTGCTATTGAGCAAGATGGAATCAGAATGACGTTATTTACTGCCAAAAGTTAAATCCAAATTTATATTTTGTTTATATTATTTTACAAAACTTTTTAGTGGAAACACTACCACATAAACATTTTCGGGTATTGAAACATGAAAACAGAGCCTCTTCATTCACACACACACATATATATACACACGCATGCAGGAGGAGAGTGTTCAAAAGCGTTCTGCAGAAGAGAGAAAAATTGAATGACAGAATGAAAGTGCATGAAAACAAGAAAAATAAAGGGATGAACTGTGAATATTAGAGCTTGAGGAAAAAGAAAAGGCAAACCATGAGTACAGAAAGTAAAATAAAATCTTGTTTAATTGTTTTTTTTATAAGGTTTCCAAGTGCAAATGAAGCTGTAAGGGAATGGCAAAGGGATTCATAGGTAGAAAACAGTTAACTGATGGGAAAAAGCTTAGTATTTCAACACTGACATTTTGAATATTCTTCACTTTCTATTACAAACTTTCACTTGTAAATTTGCCTTACAAAACTAAATTGATACTCTTACAGAACTCAGTAGGGGCACTGTTAATTCAGGTGTTTTCACACAAAACACATGTACTTCATGAAACATTTTGCTCATCAATACAGGTTTCATACATCATTTTACAAAGATATGTTACTAAGCACTTCATAAGCAAATATTTTAGAAATATTTCAGGTTATTTTAAGATAATTTGTTCTATAGTTGGAAATACTGTAAATATAATCTTAAAACCAATAAAACATTGCTTCATTAACAGCAAAATTAGTGCAACCTAGTTTCATATCAGTTTGCATCCCACATTTGAATGTTTCCCGATGCAAATACCTCATCTTGGCCCTCTCATTCATTCCTCACTAATACCTTCCATGTCTACCAAGCTCCTATGGTCAATAGCTGGCCATTATGCACACACAGACTGACGGAATAGACCAAACAGAGGATACACAACTCGCTAAAGCCTTTCCCTCAACAGAAAAACTAATTTGTACTCCTTAAATTAGGAGTACAATCAACTTTCTTAAAAGTTGCAAAGATTTTTCAAGTGGAATTGCAATTAGCCAGTAAGTTAAAAAAAAAGGAATGTGGTATAAAGGCTCATAACACTCATAACAAAGACAGACATTGATTGTATAGGCCTCCTTTAACATCCCTCCCGAAAAAAAAAAAGGTGTGAGCAGTCTCACTGAGCACAATAGAATTACTTGCATGTCACTATAAATTCATGTGCATGTTTTCACAAAATCAAGGTCTCACCTTCAGTATATAATTCCAGCTGACAAAATGCTGTTCCACGTCTCACATATGCTTTTACTCGAGCATTCTCATTATCAGGAACAGGTGGTGTCAGTAGTTCTAGTGCCTTTACAAATGAAAACACCCAAAATATTTAGATTTTCCATAATTTTGTTTTTTTCTCATTTACACACACTTCTCTCACCTAATTACTATTATTCTACAGTAACATAATAACTATTCAAATAGAAATAGAAAATAACTATTCGAATTTAACTATATGGCTTGTGAATCTAGTCATTAAGATTTGTATCTGTCACCCCACAGTTTGCTAAATACAGTTTCATTGCCATGGCTAAAAACTGACAAATACTATGTTAAATGTTTATTACAGTCAAATAATGTATTCTATTTTCATACATGATATTAGATATCATGCTACAAAAAAAATGCAGCCCTAAAAAAAGCACGTCTTGTAGTAGTAGTTACTAGAAAAAACAAGTTTCAAGCCTCAAGTACTTATTAGTTCAAAAAATAATAATACAGGGAAAACTTTGGCAAAATGATTGCGGTGCCACTTGAGATCACTCCTCTCTCATTGCACAAATAATGGCTGCTAAAATATTAAGATGATACAGCTGTTCTTTAAAAATGTCTGTTTTGTTGGGGTTTTTTTTAAGGTATCCTCCTCCTCACCACCACCTTTTTTTTTTTTCCTTCCCAACAAATGAAGAACACCACAACATAATACAAAAGGTATCTGTATATATTTTCTTTTTTTCTGCTCACAGTTGTCTTTTTTTTTCAAGTGTATATATTGCTACACTATTTTACTCATAAAGAAACATGTACCTAGTCAACATATGGCCATTCATCCCAAATGTGTGGAAGCATGGTTTGGGTTTTTTTGTTGTTGTTGTTTTGTTTTAAATTTCTGAAAGTTCATTCATCAATCACTATCAAATTTTAATCTTTCACCATGGCTTCATTATATCAATTTTGAATTTAAAAATTTTGAATCACACTAAGTATTTACAGATCTGCTTGAAACAGAAGCATCACAGTAATATATCACAATCATGTATAAGATGGCAGTCTGAGAACCTATATATTTATACCTTAGAGGAATCTTCAATAGCTTTATGTAAATTTCTCAGTTTAAGGTGGCAAGCAGCACGATTCAGATACAGTAGGGGAAGCTTACTGTTTAGCCGCACTGCGAGGTTATATGCGTTTACAGCTGCAAGATAGTTTCCCGTTGCAAACATTTTGCTAAGTGTAAAACAAAAAGTGAAACATGCACTTTGAACAAGGTGATACATCACAAAATAAATACCTACTTATGGTTAATAATTCATTTTCAAAAATTTGAAGTTTTAGCAGCTTTTACTTGGAAATGGCCATTTATAGCCTTTTCTGAGAACAACATAGCTGAAGTTCAGTCGAACTTGATGCTGACAATATAGCATATAGACATACAAGAAAAATAGTCACTGCTTAAAAGCAATGAAGAACAGTAAGAAGTGGACACATCGATGCAGACACAGGACTAATTTTGAAAGCTATGTATCTGATGATGATCGCCTAATCAAACCTTTCTGTATAACACAGCTATATAAATATACGAGTATTTTTATCAAATTCCTAAAGTTTTAGACAGATGTTTCACCTCTCAATAAAAACTACAAGCGAAAGGAAATCCACCTAGGTATAATATTGCACTGAATATGCATTATGTGTTCACAATGATTTTGCCCATCATGAGCTTCAGCAATTGAATCTCATGACTTCATCAGATTCAAACCCTGTAAGCTGTCAATACATTCTCTACTATGTAGACATTCACCATCTGTGTCTAGGATAAATAGAAAGTATCAAAACTAAACAACAGACACACACTATATAATTAATATTCCATTTTAAATACATCTTCAAATAGAATCTAACTTACTTTCCTTTGTCCTTTAACCAATCTGGATTCTTCTCCTCTTCTTTTAAATCTTCCAGCTCAGACAAATCAGCACTTATTGTTCTTCGAGCTTCTCTTTGTTTACGTAGCCACTGTAAATACAAAATGTGCAAATGTTATTTCTGAAGGACAATTCAAATGCAAAAAAGGATTTTGCTTCATTATCTTCACTCCTATCAAAAGAACTCTATTTGCTACATATTTTGGACAGAGATAAATATTTAATAATGTCAGATATTAAAAACTTCAAAGTTTCCCCAAATAGTTTATTACTATGTGAGAAGTAAGGTTACTGCATCACTAAAACATTTTTGTTTGCTTGTTTTGGAACTTCCAAAATGACTCTTTGGGTTCATACAATACAGCTCAAAACAGCTAACTCTGAGCTTCTTTTTAAGAACAGAGAACTTAAAGATCTTAAATATAAGAGCAAAGACATTTCAAATTTTGTACTTCAAGGAATTAAATTAATATTGCTGCCTTTTTTTTTTCCCTCCCAAAAAAAGGGACATGCTATTTATTAATCTGCACAATCACATGCTTGGTGAAAATAATTTTTATATAAAAGTTTTTCTTTAAATCTTAATTTAAATAAAACCTCCTTCCTTGGAAGATGAGAATATTGCATAGGTAACATTCCTTGGCACAGGTAACATTTTTGGCAACTTACTGAATACATGGTAAATAATTCACCACCTTGGAAGACAGTAGAAGCATCACACTAAAATAGAGAGCAACCTTTACCTCCTCCTCTTCTGCGATGCGAGATTCTCGGAGAGCTGTAGGAAAAACTCGTGATGTAAAGTTGATTTTAATTGTAGCAGCAGATCGAGGAGCTGGTAACTGTTCTTCCTTTAAATTTTCTGAAAACATACTATAGGAACCATGACCTATGAAAAGAATTGGAGTATTGGAAATGAAAAACAAAGCAAAAGAGATTTTTCTGGTTTTCTACTAAAGTCCAAACTATACCTAATTTAGAAATTCTGCACATCAGAACTAAACCTCTAATAGCCTGAGAAAGGTTTAGACTTGTTCTTTTGAAGGGAAAGTTCAAAAAAAGTTTATTCCTGCCATCTATTTTCTGGCTACATTATCAGTCACAAATGAACTTAAACTCCTCTTACACCACTATCTCTGTCACTTATATGATTATCTGACAGCACAACTGCAAGAGCTAAAACTAACTTTACCAAAACAAACAAACAAAACAAAAATGAAACATTTTCTGTTGTTTTAGTTCCCTGAATTGGCTCTCTGTGGGGCCAAGACATGGGATAGAGAGAGCAAAAGGAGATTGCCTATTTCTGTGAAAACCAGCAGTTAGGTAACTTAGGGTAACGTGATCTCTACCCACAAAAAGTCTGCATTATATTGTCAGAAAGGCTTTCTGTTTTACTTTTCGAAAGCTTTGAACAAAATCTGCCCTTGTATTTCCAAAGACTTAAACGAGAGCTAAGAACTCTTATGCTTTAGCTCAATAAATTGCCTGAAAATAAAGACATTAAAATAACTGCAGACCAAAAGAATTAGTTCAGTATGGTGGAGACAAGGATAAATGATGAATTAGAAACATGTAGGAATAAAGTTATAACCACACTTTAAAGAATGATAAAATACACTTCAATAATACAACCTTTAGTAGGTTTGAGTCTGGTCTTGGAAGTTCCTTCATTAGGAATCCTAGTTTTGTTCATTTTTTCGTTTTTCTTCTCCTTTAATTGCTCTACTTCTTGATGTAGTTCCCCTTCTTTTTGTACCCTCTTTTGTTTCTCAGCATCTTTTTGCTGTTTTTTCCATAACTCCAACTCCTTAGTGACCTTCTGCCGCTCCTTTTCTTTGAGATCTTCAATTCTTTTTCTCTCTGCTTCTTCTAGCTGTTTGAATGATAAACCTATGAGATATGTAACATCTGATAATAGTAAGATGACTAAGTAAAAGTTACCATTATTTTCCCAGTTTCATATCCCAAGCATAGCATCATCATTAACGTGATCATACAAGCAGAGTTATGAAAGATGCTTAAAAATGACTGAGAGTAACGATTTCTGATTAGCTTTAAAAAGCGATATCTTTTATCTATTTTACTACCACTACTAAGGTATGATTCAGAAACATTCATAAGTAAGTTTTACTTGTAAACAATTAGTATCCTAGCCATATACCAACACAGATCTCTGGAATATACAGAAATGTAAAATATATGGCTTCCTTTTATGAACTATTTCTTATTTCTCCTCTTCTCTTTGAGATTATTAGATAGGCAGAGATTATTAGATAGGCAGAATAGGTACTTTGCTGCTAAGAAAGTCACTAACTGCAGTTCATTTTGGTCCAAATTGCATATGCAATCTTAAAATTTCATTGTATACTTTAAAAAATCCTTTAAAACAGAAATGAAGTGACCAGACTTTTTACATACATAAAAACTTTGAAGAAAAGAATGTATTTTAAAATACATATAAAATGCAGAACAACAAAGATAAATATACACACAAAAGGCAATGAAAAGCAAGTCTGATATAAAATATAACAACGAATAAATCGGGTTTTTTAAACAATCAGTCTTTTTGACAGTGCTAAATGACTAAACACTTGTGCTGAAGCAAAGGCCACAAAAGATGAGAGTTTTGCCACATTACTGTAGTCTCCTTTCAACGGACAAAAATCTGAGTGCCTCACCAAAAATTTTTGTTAGTATTACTAATGGAAAATGGCAACTTCTAAGTATTTTTTCTGTATCATTTTCATATTTTGTAACAGATATGTTTTAAGTACAAGGAAATAACAAGGTTCTCCACGACTGTAATAAAAATGAGTACTTTTCATATTTTTTAAGGTACATTTAATCAAGCAGCTGCCAGATTAGTCGCTAATTGTTTACATGTATGTGTCTTGTAGAGTTCCTTCTAAGCTTACCTTCATTGTGGCCTCCAAAGCATATTTTTTGTGTTCCTGTTTTGTAATTTTTTTTTCTTCTGTCTCCTCTTTTGCCTTTTCATGGGCTTTTAGAACAGCATTCTCTCTTAGATATTGCAGTTGCTCCTTGTTAGCTTAAAAAACATATAACTATTTTAGTAATTTAGGCCTGAAGTTCTACTGTTATGCACCATATTCATAAAAACAGGGTTTCTTCTTGCTACTTTGTCTGGGAAAATGCAACATGGTTCAAAATACACAAAGCAGTCTCTATCAAGCCCATCTCTAAAAAAGAAAAATTAAGATTTGCTTATACACAAAACGTAAGTTTTACAAGAAATATTGCTTTGTTTTGTGTACACTAAAGCCACAGACAAACTTTATCTGTTTTCATATACTTTCTATTTTTAATAATGAACAACGAGGTTTAACTTAGCAGACACCTAGCAGCAGAAGTTTCACATTTCTTATTACAGTTTGTAAAGTTTTGGCACGATTTGGGTTTCTTAGATGCAATCTACTTCCCACAGTAGAGAACTTACCATTTGCTAGAGTTAGGGAATCCCACATGGCCACTTCTTTTTTATATAAAGTGAAAAAAATTATTCCATTTCCAATCTTTGCTGTGCTATTTGTGTCATCAATAGGAGCATATAAAATGGCTTCAAATAAAAAGGGAGGGATGCTTACCTATAAAAATACAATTAATTTGTACTAATATTTACAATTTTTAATTATATCTCACATACTCAAAATACTCAGTACAAGCATACAGTAAACCTCAAGAAACATATGCTATTGACAAAACTAATTTGCTTAGTATCCAGTACAAAGATTCTATGTTTTATTTGAGCTGATAAAAGAGATTGAAACAGTTGGTTCTTCAGCACTGTAAGAGAAGCCATGGACCTCAAATTTGGAATTATTACTCATTAACATAAGCAGATGTGTATAATTCAGGCCGTTTATGACAGAAAAGGCAGCTGGCACCAACTTAGTAGCAAGAGCATTAGTACGGAGAAGGAGCAGTAGTAAAGCCATTATCTCTAGTGCGATAGGTGTTTAACAGCCTGTAGCATACAAAGGGAAATTATAGATTAACAATTATAAAAGATTATAAACTTGACAGCGCTGCCACGGTGTATTAAGCGTGTGCTTTTTAACAGCGCTACAGAGTAACAGCAAGCCACAGGCCCACGGGCGCAACACATCTCAAGGCGGGGACAGAAA